TATGGCATAGGAGAGAAGGGAGTTATACCAAGGATCAACACTTTGCTCCAAACAGCTAAGAATAGGAGTGGGAGGGCAAAGAAAACAAAAGGAACAGGCTCCAGAGAAGACCCAACAAATTAATTTAATAGCAGCCTCCCACTTCAGAAATTTGGGATTCCTGTCATATCTCTGCAGCAGGACATGGTTTGAATCTGAAACAGCAGCAGAAGGAACTGCAAAAAAGCAGCTGACGGACAGGGCAGAAGCTCCAGCTAAATTCAAGCTTCCATGGGGAGCAGGAGCCAGTACCAGGCCTCAGTCACTGGCTAGTCCTGACCTGCTAAAGCATTGGCTTAAACTTAATTTAGCTCAGGCTGGGGCTGGGAAGAATCATGTTATACAAAGGACTTGCCTGGCCAAGCCTATGAGTTGAGCAGCAGTCTGCACCACAGAATAAACAGTCATCTTTAAGGAGCAGGGACAGCAGCTGAGAAGGTGCTCAAAGAACACTAAAGGATGCAGCAAGATGAGCTGCAGGTTGCTGCCCTGGCACAGCCTCATTGCCTAGTGCCACCATGGCTCTGTAGGGATGCTCAGTTCCAGAGAAGGTCCTGCACAGCTTTGGCTGCTGTAGCACCATGTCAAGCCAATTCCAATTGTTTCTGTAGGTATGTATGCTCAAGAAAACAGATAATAGATGCATGCTGGTCCCAGGTCAAGCCCTCCTCTGCCCCCTGCATCCTTCAGGACCAAGGCTGCTATGACTTGTCAAAAGTCAGCTTCTCCAGTGGTGGTGACAGCCAATTGCTCACACCAGGCAGCCTGATGCTTCATGCTACATGAACCATGGAGAGCTCACCTGTCCCAAGCTGTGCCAACTGCCTCCTCTCTCCCAAGTTGTATGGTGACTCCTTGCTACTGCTCTACCACAGTCTTTGCCATTCTTGTTATTAACAGCCTCTCCCAGCCCAGCCCCTTACCCCTCCTGCTAGGAACTGCTCTCCTTCTCCACAAAATGGGCTTCTCGACATCCACTGGGCCTGAACATCCCTCGCCCTCTTGGTGCTCTGTGGTAGGAGCCACGATCTTGCACTCTGGACCTTTCCCACCTCCTGCAATCCCAGGGCCTGTGGTGGCCTTGCCAGCCAGAAGCTGCTCTGTGCTCGCCGCGGTTGAACGCCAGGTTCTCCTTCTCCCTGCTTTGGGCTTCAGCACCTTGCTCCGGGGTCCATCTTTCCATGCTATGGTGTTCCTCTTTCAAGTCCACTGTGCCCGCTACTGGTGAAGGATCTTCAGGGAACAGCTCCTTTCTTTCAGCCAAGGCAGCTGCCTTGCTTCTGCTGTGAGGCTTTGGAAATTCCTGACAGTGCCTCCCACCAGGTCTTCTCTCTGGTCTCTGACCAAAGCTTCTGGGCACCCTGGAGCCATGGGACAGATGACAGGCTTCCCCTGCTGCTTCCTGTGAGCTGCTGCAGGACTGCCTGCCCTGACCTCTTGGGCCTGACCTCTCCCCTCTGTGCCTCTCCCTCTTGCACTGAGGTTCCTTGGGCACAGCAGGCCTCTCTGGCTGCCCAGGCTCTGCCCTGCTCTCTGGAGCCCTGGCTGGCTCCAGAGCTGAGGCCTGGCAGGGTGTCTGAGGTGCATCCGCATCGCTAGCACTCACCAGCAGCTCAGAGGAAGCAGCTGCCTGGCCTGGATCAACAGTAGCTGGAGGCTGAAAGAAAGAAGCCAATGGTTAAGAAAGGGACAGGACAGTCCCAAAGCAGATGACAGTGTTTGGCCCTTAAGTCCAGGGACCTCCTTGCTGGTGTGGAGCTCAGTGGCTCTCTGCCCCCAGTGCCATACCGCCTGCAGGCTGATGAAGTAACGGTTCTTCTCTGCTTCGGGATCAATGATGCCCCCTTTCTCTTGCTGTTTCTTGAAAATTAAGCGCAGTTCTTCTTGGTGCTGCAGCATCTTGGCATCTGGCCTGTACGGTTCCTGAGTGGCAGACAGCAAGAGGGGTTAAGGGCTCTATCTATATGGGCAGTCAGTTAGCAACAGCATGAGCAACTCCCCAAACCCTCATATGATCACACAGCGCCCAAGTAAACTGTCTGTTTGCAACACTGGACCCACTGAGCCTACAGATTCACGTGTAGTTCCCTGTCTCTGTACAGGTACATGTCACTGCAGACCCACTGTTCCCTGCATTGCCTGTCTGAGGACCTCCTGCTTTGGAGCAAGATGCAGAGCAATTAAAAATCAAGAACCACATAAGCTGGAGTCACTCACTTGAAACTGATAACATCTCAGTGGGTACAGGGACATATTTAAGGAAAGCTACAGTTATTCTCTTAGAGCAGACAGAACACAGAGGTTCCTTTCAGGCACTCTGCCTCACGGCAGAATTGTCTCTCTCCCCCACCACATCTGCTTGCTTTGGAGAGCAAGCCAACAACACTACATATCCTCACTGCCTCCCCATGCAACAGCTACATATCTTTTGCTTCCCTCTGCCCTTATCACATCTGAAGGTGGGCCCCTTTTCTATGGCAGAAGGGCTCCAATGGTCCCCTCTGAATAGAGCACAAGATGGAATTTGTATATTTGTGTGTTTTCCTAGAGTAAATGGCAGAGCACGTTAATCAGCTGCAGCTGGCACTGTTCATGTGTTAAAATGTCCCAGTTAAAGCTACCCAGAGAGTGGGCACAGCCAGACAGATGAATCCACATCTCTTACCAGTGGGTGCTGTGGTGGTGGCGCTGCCTTCAGGGCACAGAGGTCATAAACCAAGGTTTCCCGGCAGACAGGGCACTGCACGCCGACTTTCTGCAGGGAGGTGAGAGGTGAAACCCTAGGCAACAACCCAGCCCACGCACATCCAGAGAATCCCCAGGCTGGAAGTGAAACAAACAGGGCAGCCTTCTTCAACTAACCACAGGCACTTTTTTGCTAAGGCAGGGAGGCCCACGGGGATTCCAGTTTGTAATTATGGTTGGAAGGGGCTCCTGGGGCTCACTTGGTCCAATCTTCACTGATTCTCTCAGCGCAGGCACAGTGCTAACCATACTGCACACGGCTGCTGAGTCAGGATGGCCTTTGTTCCACATCCCACAGGGAGTGACAGAGAACTCAAGACGGCTTGTGCAGGGAATCAAATCCCAATACCTGTTTGGGGGAAGGTGCCAGGTGCTGTTCTCTCTCCTCCTGCTGCGTGAGAATCTCCTCTTCCATGTGCTGGGCATAGCGGGCCAGGCAGTGGGAGTGGAAGTAGTGGTAGCACTGGGTCTTTGTGAAGGCTTCCCTCTCCTGTGGATGAGAAAAGGGATTTAAAGGGTGTTCCCAGCACCTAGCTGACTCCCATGTCAGCAGGGATGTTATTGATGGCAAAACCACATAGCTTCTTCCACTGGGCTTCATCTGATTCACTTCTCAGCCACCTTGAATGGCTTGAATACACATTCCTACCTGGAATCCATAGAGGCAGATCACACACTGGCCATGAGGAATATTGTTGTCAGTGAGAATCTCCTTCCCCTTCTGTCAAAGCAGAAAAGCAAGCATTTTTCTCACTGGTCTCCACATGGGCCCAGACTCAGGGCTCTCCTACCTGAAAGGGAGTCAAAGAACAGTGTGCATCTGTCTGCCTCCCTTCTCCCCAGCTCTCACCTCAATCAGCTCATATAGCACCTCTGTCCCCAGCCTGGCTTCAGCAACATTTCTGAGGGTCTGCAAAATCCTACAGCAAAGTAGCACAAATACTTAACACAAACTTTGCCACACCTTTTCACTCTTCCACATGCCTGTCTCCCCACCATAATAACAAGAGAAATAAAAAGAACATCATCCACCAGGGTTTGCCTGTAGTGTGGGATGGGCACAAATGCAAGCACATATTCCCATGCTATCCCAAGCTCCTTGAGAACAAGTGTGCAGGAAATGGTTGTCCTCAGAGAAATTGCAAGAGTGAGCTTGCAAACTGCTTCAGCTTCAGCTCACCCAGTACTCTTCAGCTTTAGCAAATCTAAGGCTTTGTTGATCTGGTGGGAGCAACTTTGATGCTGTGCTGCTGACTGGTATCTGGATCTCTGCTGCACCAAAGCCAGGAGCACAGAGGCAGCAGCAGGCTGCCTGAACGCTGCAACTCAGTTCAGTCTTGTCTCTGTCAAAGCTGGACCGACATCTCTGAAGGCCTGGCAGTTACATTTCAGGTGGACCACAAAGGAACAAACCATTCCTCAGCAAACTCAGCATCAGGGCTGACATAAGATTTAACTCAAGGTGCTTTGAGAGCTGTACGTATGTGTTAAGAGAACAGAGGGCCCTGAAGGCACTGAGAGAAGGCTCTTAAGCGCTGTTAACATCACCGCTCCCCTATCGGCACTCACTTTTGGATTTGCTCATCTGACAGTCCCCGCGGGTTGCTGATGGAGATGTTTGGAGCCTCATTGGGATACTAGAAAACAAAACAAACCAACAAAACCCAAAACGCACCAAGGAAAGCAGAGATAGGGGCCACAAGGCCCAGCGGGGACAGGAGCCTACCTGGGGGGACACGGCGAGCACCAGCGTGCAGCGCACGAACTGTGAGTCCTGGTCCTGGGCCGTGGCGGGGTGCAGGGTGATGCTCACCTCCCAGGGCTCGGACCTGCGGGCGGGCGGAGGTAAGGTGCGGCCGGAGAGCGGGGCCCGGGGGCCGCGGGGCCCGGTACGTACCTCGCGCGGCCCCGCACCACCCGCAGCTCCTCCAGGTAGATGGACTCCAGCACCTCCACCTCGGACGGCAGCGCCCTGCGAAGCACCGAGCGGTCAGGCGGCCCCAGGCTCCGGCCCCGGGGAAAGGCGGGACGGGGACGGGCTGCCATTACCAGTCCGCCGCCTCCACCTCCTCGCCGGCCGCCGCCATCTTGCCGCCCGGCCCGGAAGCGGAAGTACGGCGGCCTCGGCCGTTGCTAGGCGACGCGGCGGCGCGGCCTGACGCGGCGGGCTCAACCTCGGGCCGGGTTTTACTGCGGCCCCGCGGCCTTAAATCGTCGGTCCGTAGTCTGGGGAGCCTCGGCCCGACCTCGGAGCCCCGCCATGGAGAGGTACCACGTGCTGGAGGTGATCGGAGAAGGCTCCTTCGGACGAGTGTACAAGGGGCGGCGGAGGTGCAGCGCCCAGGTGAGGAGTGAGGCGGGTACTGGGAGGGACGTCTGTAAAGAGCCTGGCTCCGTCTCCTTAGAAGTCTCCTACCGCTGGCCGTAGGGTTGCTGTTCAGCTTATCTCCGGGTTAATGAAGCTCGGCCCCCGCCGGTTTCAGCTTGTAAGCCATGTGCATCGGCCACCTTGCCATCCTGATGATCCTTAGCTGGGACCGCTCCTGTTTGTCAGTGTGCTTCTGGGCCAAAAACTGGCTACTGTGTCCTAACAAACCCTAAATAAAGGGTGAGAATCGCTTCCTTCAGACAACTGCCTGCAGTCCTGTTAATACAGCTCAGGT